GGCATGACCGAGCGCAGAATAATCCTGAGGATTATGTGTGTGTGTGTGTGTGTGTGTGAGCGCGCCCGGGTGCGCGTCTTCCTCCCCCCCGCCTCCCCTCCCCGCTCCGCCTGCCCTGCATATCCAGAGATATTCAATAAAAACCTCAAATCCCCACGACGCAGCCACTGTTACTATAAAAAAACCAGTCCTGGCTTGTCCTGGCCAGAGTGCCAGCCCCAAGGACTGCGCCAGCCGGCACCCCGGGGCCAGGCATGCCCTGCGGCGCGGGGGGAGCCGCCAGCCATGGGCAACTGCACCAAGACCCCTGAGAGGAGGCTCTCCAAGGTAAGACCCAGCCCAGCGCATGAGGAGGCTCCGCAGCGCTCCGGCTTCATCCCGCGCTCGCCCAGACAAGCAGGATGGCACGGGGAGCCCCCGGGGGGAACTGCCGGGATACTCAGCCCTGTGCCAAGCCCGTAATGCAGGCATTTCTTGCTGGCATGGCTCTCTGCGGGGCCAGGATGGCCTCCTCAGCCCCTAGGGCGGCTCTGCTGTTGTGGGGCAGTCCTCTTTCGTGCTAAGGAGCAGGGCCTCCTCCTCTGCCTACAGGATGGGAAGCAGCACTCGGGCTGCTCGGCCTCAGGCCCCCAAGACCCCGACGAGCTGGCGGAGGCCGCGCAGTCGCCACCGCTGCAGAACTACTCGGTGCTGCATGGACTGGTGGGGCCAGCCTGCATCTTCCTCCGCCAGAGCATCGCCATCACCCAGCTGGTGCGTATGGCCGCAGCCGCGCCCCCAGGGCCGCCTTCGCCCTCTGTCAAAGCCGTGGTAGCAGTGCCACCCCTTAGCCTTGCAACCAGGTCACTTCTGGGCACTGGGTGCCATGCTGGGGTGTCCGCGTGCCCTGCCCTTGCATCCCCAGCTCTTTGTGCCCCTGCTCCCATCCAGTTTCCCAAGCACGCAGGATATCCTGCTATGCCCCGTTGCATTGCTCCTCCACCCCATGGCCCTAGGGCTGCTCAGTTGGCTCAGTACAGGGGCAAGGATTTGCCATTGGGGCCCATTCTTTTACTCTTCCTACTTCTTTTCTAGGACCGAGAGCTGCGGCCAGAAGAGATTGAAGGTAAAGCACAGGGCAGGGCCCCACAGCTGCTGCCATCACAGTCCTTGCTGTCCCCTACTGTGGGCCCGTAATCCGGTCCCAGAACTGGGGCAGCGCCAGCTGGTAGAAACTTGGCAAGTTCCTCGTGGGGTGCTGTGGGCCTGGGACTAGGTGCCCACCCCCCTGGGCAGACGCACGTGCCCCACACCTGTGAGCATGGGGCCTTCCCTCCCATCATTCGGAGCAGCGGGCAGAGCGGCGTTGGGGGCGTCCTATGGTACTGACGAGGAGGGGCGTTGCAGGGGGTAGAGTTGGGTCCTGTTCCCCTGCGGGCCATGACTGCCGTGATCTACCCTGTGCACAGAGCTGAAGCAGGCCTTCCGCGAGTTTGACAAGGACCACGACGGGTACATCAGCTACAAGGACCTGGGCGAGTGCATGCGCACCATGGGCTACATGCCCACCGAGATGGAGCTCATCGAGCTGTCRCAGCAGATCAGTACGTGCCAGGGGTGCACCCAGTGGGGTGATTGCCCTGCCCCAGACGCTTCTTTGCCCTTTCTATGGTGGGGGTTTGCGGAGGGGTTGGTCGGTTCTTTCCCCTAAGCAAGAACCTTGTCCTGGTGTGCACAACTCTTCCCTCCTTGGTGATTGGGCCTGCCTCACACCCCATGGGGCAGGAGCCGGTCCTTGTGCTTCTGCTCACACTTCCATTTTCCCGCAGCGGGGGGCAAGGTGGATTTTGATGATTTTGTGGAGCTGATGGGCCCCAAGATGCTGGCAGAGACAGCRGACATGATTGGCATCAAGGAGCTGCGCGATGCCTTCCGTGAGGTGAGGCTCCGTGGGGGGAAGACGGGTCCCACGGCAGGGTCCCTAATGGCCAAGGTGATTTGAGGTGGGCACCCAGGGGGATGGCGCGGAAGGTGGGAAAGCTGGCAAAGGCGGCCCTCAGCAATCGGCGCTTCCCTCACAGTTCGACACAAATGGCGATGGGCAGATCAGCATCGCAGAGCTGCGCGAGGCCATGCGCAAGCTCCTGGGGCAGCAGCTCAACTACCGCGAGGTGGACGAGATCCTCAAGGACGTGGATCTCAATGGGGACGGCCTGGTGGACTTCGAAGGTACGGGACGAGGTGGGGGGGCCTGGGGCCCAGCAGGTTTAAGCCCATGAGGGAAGGCAGCCTGGGGACGTGGCTGCCGCCGTCCCTGAGGTGCTGCTSTCTGCTGGCAGAGTTCGTGCGGATGATGTCGCGCTGAGGGCAGCGCCTGCCAACACGGGGCAGGAGCCCTGCTGTGCCTTACAAAGCAGAGGGGGCCACGGAGGAGCCCCCCAGCGCGGTCTGCAGCACGGGAGGCCTCCCTGGCCACAGTACCCATGCAGAGCCCTGGGTGAGGGCCCTCGCTCATCTGGCACCAGACTCGCTCCGACTCGTCCTTGGCCGCACGTCTGCCCTGCCGCCGTGCTCGGAACGTGACGCCTGGGCRCGTCGAGGGCTGCTCTTGCTCCGATCTCTGTGCTGGATGGTTTCTGCTGCATGGCCCTGATCTATCTGCCATTTTCATCCCATCTTCTGCCTCTGCAGTTTCCCCCTTCCCACCCCAGCCTTCTCTTGACTTGTTCTTCCCGTAAACTGGAAATATCCACCCTGTAGCTGTGGCTCCAGCTCCAACCCACCCCTTCACCCCAGCCCCCTCTGTCCTAGTTCYGACCCCCGTATCGAGCTGTAAGACTGAGTGCTGGCCCCTCAGCCTTCACCCTATATCCCAAGCCAGCCTCCACCTCGCGACTTAGGGCTAACTTTGTGGCACGACCTGTGGCCAGCCTTCTGCCTCTCCTTTGCACTAGCTATTGTGGTGTCTGCACAGTGGATCTACACGGGCCCCCTGCTCCATCCCGCCCAGAGGCACCCCTGGCTTCCTGAGCTGAGTCGGGGGCTGGTACATCCCCTCAGAGATGCTATTGTCTTACCCCCAAAATGAGGAACACTCTTCGAGGCTTCAGCCTCTCCAACGGGAGCATCCTCGAGGAAAGAAACTGGGAATAAAGTGCTATCGTTCTCCATCCGACGTGTGACGGCAAGGAGAGCGGCTGCAAGCCAGGATGCCCAGTGTGACTAGTGTGGAGCGGCAGGAGGCGAGTTGCCCGTGAGCTGCTTCCTCCAGCCCCAGAACGGGATCTGGGAGCCTTTTGCATCCCTTCAGCAGAGGAACTGCCGCCTCCTCTGCTTTCAGGTTTCCAAATCGGCTCCAGACCAAACCCACTTATCCATTTCCACATTTTATTTTATTTTATTTTATTTTATTTTATTTTATTTTATTTTATTTTATTTTATTTTATTTTACTTTTATTTTGTTTATTTTTT